CACCACGACGACGACTACAGAGGAGAGGGCCTGTGGTGGGACGAGCTTGATAACACAATGGAGTGCAGTGAGATGTGGTACGTCGGAAAGGGCGTAACCAAGGAGAAGTGCCTGGACTTCATGAAAGACTGCGGCATCGAGCTGGACGACAACTTAACCGACGAGGAATGCGGCCTGCAGGATAATGAGCTGCAGGGTGATGTCGACTCGGAGGTTGACCAGGCACGGGTCCCCTGCAACTCCACGTTTCATGTCGCTGGGGTCTTTCAATGTCGCTAGGAAGACAAGTAACCAGTAACCACCTCTCTCTCTCTCTCTCGCTCGCTCTCTCTCTCTCTCTCTCTCTCTCTCTCTCTCTCGGGTTGACGGTTACTCGTGCCGGGCATTTCAAGGACACAATCGCCGTGCAGCTAGAAATCGACGACTCTGCGGGCTCCACCGGCAATTTGGCGATCAAGGCACTTACGATGGATGGTCGCGAGTTCGCACAAGTGACGTTGGATGCAAACAAGACACTCGTGCGCACACTTGTCGATGAGTTAGCCTCAAAGTATCCCTGCTCGCCCCTCGCGATGCGCCTGGTGCTGCCAAGTGGCACCTGCATCGATGCTCTCGAAACTGCCGGCAAGCTTTTAGCGGCGGCTCTGGTATGAAGGCGAAGACGATCCGATCAGGCGCCTAAGCACGCCATCCGTTTCTGGAGGTCAAGCAGCACTCCCTTCCGATTTGCTTTGTTTGCCCGTACTTGATCGAGGAACGCTCATAGTCGGGTTTTTGGCTAGTAATTCACATCCGTTGTCAGTACTTGGCTGAGCAGCGGTTTTGGTCAAAGAAAGGCATGCTTCCAGACTCTTTCGGGTGTGGGCGCCGCGAATGCGGAGGTGTCCAGAGCGAGGCACGGCTAGGCTAGGCAATCAAACTCTGACCCTACCACACAGTCCATGGCATGCGGTGCCTGTTGTAGTCAGGTATCCCACATCACAAAAGTTTCCAAGCTACTAAGGAAACCGAATATATGCTTCGACCTGAGGCACATCTCCACGCGACAATGGCCTCAGAGCTTAATTCTGCTAGCTTGCCGAAATCCTGGTAAAGCCTGAACCGCCAACCGTAAACTTCGTAATTAAACCATAATATGAGCCTCATGAGCCTTCCGAGCCAGAAGCCCAAAGCGTACAAACTTAAAGCCTGAAGCCTACCCTTAGCACCGCAAGCTCGACACCCTGAACGTTAGAAGCCTTAACCGGAGACCCTAAACTGAAAGACTCCAACCCTTCAACCGCCACTAAGCCAAGCTTGAAGTATATATAGACCCCTCAAACCTCGAAGACAGCCGAAACATTAAACTCTAAACCCCATGCTTTGCGACACTGAGCACCCGAAGCCTGAAGCAAGAATGCTCTGTGAGGCCGCATGTCGACAGGCTGCTGCTGAGAAGTGCGGCGAATGGATGGCACAGGCCTGGATTGGGATGTTACGCTTCGGGCTTGCGGGTTTAGTTTTGATGATTCAGGGTTTAGGTTTCGCGGTTTTGGGTTTAGGGTTCGGGGTTTGAAGTCTGGGGATTTAGATTTGGACTTCAGGGTCTAAGGCTCGGGGTTGAGGCTTAGTTTTGATGGATCAGGTCCGGGTTTGGGGTTCAGGCAGCCGGTGTTCGGGTCTTGAGGTTTCGGCAAAGTTTGCTTTCTTTGAGGTTTGTTGTATGCCAGCCAGCGGGTTCCAGGAGGTCCTTTGTGTCTGGTTCGGCTTGAGGTTTCAGGTTTCCTGGTTCGGGGTTGATGTTGAGGATTCGGCATTTTGAACGTGCAGATTAGATGATGGTTTGTTTACAACTCAGAGCTTACATTACTGTACTGATCCAGCAAATCAGGCTATACTTGTTTGATTCCGAGACATCAAGACCAGGCCCCGAAAACGTCGAACAGAAACATCTGCGGCTTTTCGTGCTTAGGCTTTAGGATCCGGGGCTTAATCTCAGAGGGCCTTGAGTGTTTGCAAGTTCAAGGACGCCCTGTACCCGAAGTCAGCCTCATCCTCGAAAGTCTTCAAAGCCCGCGATTCCGATGTCGGAGCCGAAACCCTGCAAGCCCTAAACCCCTAAACTGGGCCTTTGCTAAGTCTGGGTCCCGACCTTGAGGGTCAAACGTGGTCATTCAGCCGTATACGTGTTTCAGGCTAAGGAAACTCCTGCCGGATTATTGTTTCATTCTTGAGGTTCGTCCCACCTCGCCGCACCTTCGTTACTTGAACATCAGTCCATCGCAGTGATATGAGGGTTTCCGAGAATAGGGAACCCTAATATAGTACCCCAAGTACTAGGATCCTTATTATAAGGACCCCAAAATGAGGTACCCCTAATTTTCGGAAACTCCCCTGTGGGCGCCAAGCTACCATCTCAGGAGCATACCATCACAGCTCTGAGGTCGTCCCTCTACTCTCTGGACGCGCCTTGTGGGAGGATCGCTGGATGCCCAGGGGGTTTTCTCTGCTTCTCTGTGGATAAGGATGTAAAGTGAGGCTTGTATGCTTTTATGTGCTCTGTATATCGCTGTTTATAGTTTGAGAAACGTTTAGTTTGGTTTCCTGACCGCATGTCACTTTCTCGGGTATGTAGCCGGGCTTGGGCTGTGTTTGATACATTGCCACTTGCTTCTCTGGCTTTTGCTCATGTTAACCTGGGCTTGTTTCTCGCTCAGGTTCGGTGCAAGACACCTATCTTGAAAGCCTAGGTTATGACAACCTGGAAGCTAATGAAACTTATCATACTCTTGGAGCAGCCCACGTACGGATTGGGGTGTAGTTTGGGCTTCGTCGCTGGAAAGTGTCCAGCTGGCCAAAATGTGATTTGGGTATTATTTGGGAACCTGTTAAAAGGGCTCTTTATATGGATCCCAATATTTTGGGATAGGACCAGGGTTTCTGAATCAGGTTCCTGAGGGGATCTATTTATTTTGTCGGCTACGCCTCGGAACTTGGTGTCCGTTTCTGCTGTCCCGATGTGGTTACATCGCGCCTTCTTGTGTTACATACCCAACAGGACGTCTAGTTTGGAGCAGCCCAGGAAGTTTCTGGCTTTGGCTTCTCTCCAGGAGCCCATGCAAAGCCTCAACCCTAACGGCCTACCTTAAACCCAAAGCCTAAGCCTTGCACACCCTGCCCCCATGCAACTCTACAGTAATGTTACGGTAACTAACTAATTGGTCTTAAGTCCAAATCCTGGAGCTTGAAGCCGAGCCGAAGAACTAAGACCTTATCAGTTCCGAAAACCCAAACCCAAAACCCCTGAGCCCTCAAAGGAAAGACTCTTGTAATGTTGGTGTGGCAACCCCGTTGGGTCAAGCGAGGGCCTAGTTGCCTCTATAAGCGTTTCTTCGATTGCAGGGACCTTGCTTAAGCGTTGAACAATAAGAACATTGTAGTGCGGCGTTTTATGTTGATGGGACCCTCCATGACTTCAGGGTTTCGAGTTGGGATTCATGGATTGAGGGGTCTTTGAGGTTGAGTACAACCGTGAGTCCTCCTGCTCTGTTGAAAGTCTTCGAGGCCCCTGTTTCTGCGTAGACAGCCGCCACCTGCAACGCAGAGCACGTCCTGCGATGAATCTCTTGAAGCCCAGTTTTCCTGCAGCTGGTTACTAGCAGACGGGTACCATCAGACCCGGAAAATGGGGCTGCAAACCTCGCACCAGCTCTTCGCAAGATTGGGCACTGTCACTATGCCTGGCCTCCCGATCTTAATGGAGAGCCGCGCAACTTGAAACCCTCAACCCCTACAAAGCTATTATAAAACTTTTGGAACTCAAGCCCTACAGCCTAAACTCTTGTTGTGCAGATGTCGGCTCCTTCGGTCTAAGTCAGGAACAGTTTCCAAACGGCCTAGGCTCCGAGAATCCCTGTACCCTTTTTCCTGGCCGGCCCATACACCGGTTGGGGCCAGAGGTTTGGGTCTGGGTGCTTAAAGGCGCTTGTAGGTAGACTTCACGAACTTATATAGTATTTGCTTAACATGAGAAAGACGCATCTGCTGTAGCTTAACTTGTAAGCCGATGTTATCAAGCTGGGAAATTTGGCCCGGAGCCGCAGGCCTTAGACCGTAAACCATCAGCCCAAGATCCGAAAGCCTGAGCCCCCAATCAACACCCTCAAAGCACTTAGGTCTTGTGGTCAGTGCTGTCAGAAGCGTGAGCAAAACGAGACCCTCGGCGATGAGGACTTGCCGGCAGCTCAGAGCTCGGGGAATGCTCCGGGAGAGCTCCGGGAGAGCTTGCAGAGAGTAGTCAGGGTATATTTAGGGTCTTCAAGTCAGGGGCTCTATAGGGCCTCTATAGGGTGTGGGCTTGAGCGTTTGGGGTCTAGTAAGCTGAGACTTTCGGTTTTAGGAAGGCCTGTCTTTGCGACATACAGTGGTGCCTGCCAGCTATTCACAGATGCGAACGACCACACTGGCAGATGCGCAGGCATGCGGACACATGCACATCCAAAGAGATACATAATATGTATACATCTGTTTGAACACACATACCCACTTTGCATGAGCGGGTGCATTCGAACATGCTCGTGTCACAGTCCTTTTTCACGCATGCCCATACACCCCGCAGACTGGATTGTCTGTAGGCGCATGAGGCAAGCATACCTTGCGGTGTTTGAGGTCTTATCACTCATTCATGCGAACGAGAGTTGTCAGGGATCACTTTCTCTGCTGTTGGACGGTCTTTTGAAGCCTTTTTAAATGCTTCTGCAGTTTGGGGAAACATTCGGTGGTCTTTGGAAAGATGCACAATTGTTTTGACTCTCCGGGAAAGTGCGTTTCAGCGTTTTGTGCTGGCTTTATAACAAACCTCAAGGCCACGACTCCAGACCTTAGACCCCCGGAGCAGGACACTGGCAACAGCAGAGACTCTGGAAAACTGTCACGGAAACAGCCAGCCAACAACTTTAAACAACGACACTACCTTCCTGGAATGTGAGACTTTTGTAGATTGTGCAAGGTCTCTGAAGTTTGTCGAAGGTTTTGCTGAGATTTGGTATGATTGGAGAGTGTTGGGGAATGTTAGGTATGATTCTGAAGTTGAGTTCCGGTAAATTAGTAGTCACAGGGTTTTGCGGTAAATATTTTTATATTATGCTCGAACCTGACGAGAAAGAAAGAACGGCGCTGGAGGCTCTTGCCTTGTGCCTTTATGTGCCTCGAAGTGCCCAGGCCATCGCAGATCGTTCACTGCGCGGATGACGAGCTTTTAAAACGCTTCTTGGCCGACATTATGTAGCTATAGGGTTGCTGGTACCGCTTCTCGGCTTCCCTGCGGCTTCAAGTCTTAAAGTAGGCTTAGGCCTTGCAGCCAGTGGGTCTTGCCTGAATCGTCCATCGCAGTTCCTTGTCGGGTTACCCTTGCTTCCTTCTAAGGTCTAAAGGTATAAGCGACTCTGCGGTGGTTCCCTCTACCCTACGTGGATCCACGACCTACAAGGAAAACACAGCGTCCTAAACCGCGATCTCGGTATACGACATTCTACGCTCTATCGCTGAGACCCATCTGTGCCGGCCAGCAGCTTGCTTCCTGTTCTCCTGAGGCACTTCGCCGAGTAGCAGCAAGCGAAGTACCAAGGCAGGTGATGGAGGAAATCTAAACCCTCGACTCAGCATACTACGGTGA